GGTTACTGTTTCCTTCGTATATAGATTGCTTAAAAAGACTTGAAAAGCATTATCTATTGACACTACAAAATTGTTTTCATCATTTGGCTGTTCTAAGCTCGGTGGCAACTTATCTAGTACTTTGTTTCTGTTGATTGGATAAATTCCACTTCCACGGAATCCAGCTATGAGATTTGCTGATGTCTTGTTGTCTACATCAAGTTGATCCAAACAATTTTTTAGCAGTCTGGGAAAAGTATCTTTCGGTACTACCCCCCGATGCTTCAATTTCCAATTTAAAAGAACATCTCTCCATGCGCTTTTGAGTGGTCTGAAATATGCTACGTCTAAGGGTTGGCAGATGTGGGTACTGTTTGGAGGTAGCAGGATAAATCGAATATTATATTTTCTGCATAAGTCAATTACGGATTATGAAATATGGCTGGCAAGATTGTCGCCTATTACATCTTTTGGCGACTCAATGGGGAGTTTTTTAAAATACGGTAACGCCGTAGATTTAAACCAATCCTCGAAAATCGCTTCATTAAACCAGGAGCTCTTTGACCTATTGTATCTAGCACCAGCAGGGCCATTTTCTGTCCAAGTTTTATACAAATTTTCGGCCTTATAAACTATGTAAGGTGGCAAAAGTTCACCCGATGCGGATCCTGCAAACATGATGGAATGGCTGCTTCTAGAGTTGTCCATTATACGATGTGCGTGTTTTGCACCTCTTCTGACAAGTACCTTGGTTTTTCCAGGATCGTCAGTTATATTTGTCTCATCATAATTGACCATTGCATTTGGTTCAACCCCTTGCAAACTTACTTCCAGCTCGTCAAAATATTTATTTATTACCTCCCTGTTAACACTTGCCCGTGCCCGTTTTATATTTTCACACCAGCGTTGTGAGAGTATATCCTTATGCCTTTCAATGAACTTTCTCATAAATTCTCTTCCTGGCAAATTCTTTTTAAATTTTGATACCTGTCTACCAGAACTATCTAAATACGACTTAATCAAGTACCTTACATCAATAGATGTTAGTGGAAACCCCCAGACACTGGCTAACTGAATGTTATCCACCATCTTCTTTTCTTCCTCTGACGTGAAAACAGTTTGTCCACCTGCCTTTTTCATATGACGTCCTTTTGCTCTTCGATCTATCGTATCCTTTGAAATACCATATTTCCTTTGAAGTTTTCTCAATGAAACACCTCTATTTCTTTCAGCTACTGCAAGTTCTAAATCTTTTTCGTCATATCTTCTATAGTTGGCGCCTACTTTTTTTTTGTATCGACCCATTCTTGTAAATACCTGCAAAATGAACACGTATTATTTAATTAGGGTGACTTGAGACATGTCTCAAATTACCCCTAGGGTGACTTGATACACGTCTCAACTCGCCCCTATAAATCCCATTTTTTATTTTCTTATATAAATCAAAAAAACTGTTTATGTTAACAAAAATGTATATATCAATAATTACTTCCCATATACACTAACATCAATGTAAAATATGACCATTCCCATAAATTTGTCAGTTTGGACTACATACATAAAGTTTTTTAACATACCTATAAATCCCACAAACCCTATTCTTACAATAAAATACTAAAACCGCACTTACCTTCTTAATTAACCAGCAAAAACTATAAAAACAACTTGCATAGACTTGTCGTGAATGAATACCGCGTGGAAAATGAATTCCAGTACAATCTGCGGTGTTGCCAACCCTTCTCATAAATACCTAAAGTTTTGTCTCAAGTCACCAGGCAGTCTCAAGTCACCCAACTTGACGGTAAAAGTTTATATAAACATAGGTCCGAAAACGTTTCGTTTTCGAGATACAGGGTGTTACAAGTGAAGTCCAGATGAAATATTTTCTAAAATTTCTTTAGTTACCGGTTTTTCAAAGTTAAAAAAAAAATAAAATTTCTAATTCTACAGAATTATTGTTTACACTTTCGAATAAGGTAACATGCTTTTCTCTTGGAAATGGCGCGTCCTAGCGAGATTCAACAAATGTAGCTTTATTATACAGAAAATATTGGTTTTCCAAATTTTATAGTCAAAAAATGTGATGTGTCCAACACATGACTTTCCTATCTAGTTATTACCCAGACAGCACACCAAATCCTTTGGATATCTAATGAACATCCCAATATCCACTGAATGTCCAGTCCATGGTGGATATCTATTTTATATCCATGAAATGTAATTTATAGACATGCAAATGTCCATAAATAATAGTAATTATATAGCAAATTATTAAAAAATTACGCCATTGTGCTCGCCATTGTGGCTAATAGTACCGTTCAGATATTTAAAATTAATTTTTTTAAGGTGTATTCTATATCCCATGGACATCCACTATAAATATAAATATATCAAAGTCTAAGCGCGGACGCAAACCATCGTGGATATCTACTAGATGTAATTTTTGATTTTGCTTCCTAAGTATAGATGGCGATACCACTTTCGTATCTACTCATGCTCAACCCGCCGTAAATGAGTTCGATCGAATTTTTTTGGCAATCACACTCTATTAGAGATTGGAGTCGAGAATTTCCATTTATTGCTGAAGAGTCCTAATAAGGATGACTTTCTCCTTAGTGCCCTTATAGTGGGCAAAATCAAAGGCAGATTGTTGGAAATATTTTTTATCTCTATTTTCTTTCGAGGTTATTCAACTATCATTGGTTAATTATGAACCTCTACTAGAGATACCTATAAAATATTTTGCTGAATATCTGAATTATATATCCATATTGGATATCCACAAAATATATTCTGTGGATATCTCTGGGATTTCTTGTATTGTCTGGAAGATACTCATTAGCTATTTTGCTGAATATCCATAGGATATCTTCTATATTCTGGATATAGACGGACATTTGGATATCCATATTAGATCCACGGAATATTTCTGATATCCTGTGGATATATTGGATATCCACAAAAGATATTCTGTGGATATCTCTGGGATTTGGTGTGTTGTCTGGGTATAGGCTTTTTCTGGTTATTTTGTACAACTTATTGCAGTACCTCTATAAATGTTTAGAGGATAAACTAAATATATACATTTTCCACATACATCTATCTACCTAGAAATATTTCTATAGTTATTCATTGAAAATCAAAATACTGAAAAATTTAAATCTAGCAATTTTCCTACAATTTTTCCATTACGGTCCATTTTAGAAAAATCATGCATAAACAAAAATTATAGAGATCGATATCGCAAACAACTTTTAGTTTAGTTTAGAATTTTGCACATTTTGTCAAATTTCTCGAATACGGACCATTTCAGGAAATTTTGACATAAAGCAAAAATTATAGAAGTAACTTTTATTTGAATAATTTTCTTCTCCAGACATAAATAACAGATATATTCAATAAAATATAGAAACGGCCTCCCATAAAGTACCCCCAGATGTTCCGACTTTGTCCAAAATCTAATTAGTTCACGTCAGGCCGAAATAAAACTTAAGTTTAAAATTTAGTATTTTTCTGTGTATCGGTTCATGAGTTATGGTGGATATAGACATACAGATACACACGGCAATTTTACCCTAAGCTCCCTATAATTTACCCACCTAAGAAGATGATCAATAACTGGGATTTAGTCCAATAAATGAAGCGTAAAAAGGTATTTGTAACAAATTTTACCTAATTATCTTTAAACGTTTAGAAAATATTTACAAAAGTGTGGTATCAGGACTTCACCTTTAACACCCTGTATCTTGGAAAAGAAACGTTTTCGGACCTATGTTTATATGAACTTTTACTACTATTTTAGGATGTAGATTACGCTGTTAAAATATGACCGTCTAATTTCGGGACACCCTGTATATCATCTATAACTATCAATAAATAAAAAATATTTGAGTTGTTTGGTTTAAAAATAGTATTCCTACATTCGTATATTAACAAGCCACTAACTCCCAGTAGGCGGCGATAGCCAACGAATTATACCTACCTGAATTGTAATCGGACCCTTCAGCGTACGACACACAACATTGCCAAATTTATGTAGCGAACAAGGTTCCAAATACTTTAAGGGGAGGTCGTGATATTCGTGCGGTGTGACGTCAGAAGGGACTGGATTGCTCTTAATTGTGGATGTTTAAGGGCAGCAGGTAGTGGCGACTTTATAGCTTTCGGATGCGCTCGCCGACATTCGTATCCGTTAGAAGTTTTTTAATATTAAATATTTAATATAATCGTCATTTAAATCTTCTAAAATTATAATTAGAGGTTAGAAATAAGTATAAGGATGAGGATTCTAATGTCAAAATTTCAGGTTTGCAATAAGTTTGATTTTAGCATGGAATTTATTTGACTCTAATTACGATGTCACTATTAGTGACTGGCTTTATAGAAATTTGCAATATCTCTCTATTAAGGACAGTCACAATCTTTATTAAAGTTAGTGATCTGCGCATGCTTAGATGTCAAAATAAGAGCGGCACTAATAGTGACTGACCTGAAGTGAACTTGCAATAACTCTCTAATGAATGAAAACCAAATTATGATCGAAACTACCATCGATGCTATCAAAACAAATATAATCAAGACATTTCGAGAGTTGGTGGTGATTTTTTTAAAGGTCACTTTCGTTTTGCGCATGTCTTGACAATTCGTTCCTATTCAGATCCAGAAACTGATTTGACAGAACAGAAACTGGTTTGTGATTAGGTTTGAGTTTGTTGGAAGACTAGGTTTTTGTACAGTTTTGAGTCCGAGGTTTGTTGGAACACCAAACAGTACGTAAACCGATTTGCTATTGTGTTGGAACAAACCTCTGATTTACTGTGAACCATTTTGAAAACTTTTAAAATGAAAACTGGGGAGTTATGTAAATCATCTGAAAGGTTTGTTGTGAGTTGTATATGTAGTATATTGAAATGTAAAAGAAATTATCGTTAAAATACAGTACATTACCGAACAGTATATTGTTGAATGTTATAATTTGGATTGTTTGATAAAATCTACATACACATAATTTCTAATCGTACCTTAAAACTATCCATCCAAACATGAGCTACTCTTAATGAGTTATACAACATGGTATCTTTTCCATCTGGAGATCCATATGGTCTTCTATGTCTAAAAATATGTCCCACTCTACTACATGGTACAAGTTCTAGAGATCCACCACACATCCAAATCTAAAAATAAAATAAATAACAAAAATACAAAACAAAATCACAGTATACTAAAAAATTTTAATTTTTAAACTATATTATAGTCCGGATGGTGATTATCGTTTTGAGGTCAGAAATAAATATCAAAAATCGGATGTGTCCAACACATGACCATTGTATAAAGAACTATAGTAGGATAATCGTCATGTAAAAGTTATTAGAGGCAATCGCGCCTGGCATCTATTGGTACAATAATTCAACTAACGATTTTATTTGCTGATCAGCAGTGAGATTCTCATCTTTCGTACTCGGCATCAGAGCTGTCACCTATCAGTGAGATTTAAATCATTTTTTGATTTAAATACATTTTTTGATTTAAATACTTTGATTTTAAATCTTTTTAAAAAAATGATTTTTGATTTAAATCTCTCTGAAAAGTATCTTTGATTTTTTATTTAAAAATTAGATTTAAATCTTTTTAAAACGATTTAAATATTTTTATTGATTTAAATCTGTAAAATGATGCGATCCTTTTAAAATGATTTAAATTTTCTTAAAGATTTAAATCTTTTTAAAACGATTTACACCTTTTCAAAATGATTTAAATCCGTAAAAATATTTATATCTATAAAAACACTGAAGAGACGAGAAGGGCGCTGAAATCACCTGATTCGTCAGTAGGGTTGCCAACTTTGTGAATCAGAAATCCGGGAGGAAAGAAAAACAAAAAATAGTAAAGTGTAACAAATAATTGCAATAACTAAAGATTATTCTTAAGTATGAAATTTTACAATATTTTTGACCCCATATTTTTTTTGTAAATTTCTATTTTTACACCGTAAGCAGCTGGAAATACTTTTTCATTATCGATATAATCATAAAACTCTTTACATGTGTATTTTAAATTTATGCACACTTTTATTTCTGATTTGACATGAGTTGCATTAAGAATTATAACTTTGACCAGTTAAATAAACACACTCGGCATAGTTAGAGTAAATTAATTAAATTTTTTATTTCTTTGCCTGATTCATCTGCACATTTAAAAAAAAAAAAAAAAAATAGCCCAAACGCGCCTACTTTGGTTATTTATTTGCTCGCAATAACTTCACGTACTTCTACTTTAATTATCATATAGTTTATTTATTGAAAGTAAAGCAGTGGGCAATGTGGGATATACTCTCTAATATAATAAAATTTCAGATCCTTTCAATAAAATATATATTTGACAACTACAAAACTTCAATCTCATAAACATCAAGACAAAAACCAAAATATACAGAGTAATAAACAAAAAGTTCACGAATGCTTTCAACACTCCTCCTCATTCGTGTAACTACAAAGTCCGCAAGCTTCTCGAAGTATTGCCAGTCTTTTAGCGGGAAGTGGTTTTGTAAGTAAATCTGCAAGCATTGATTCTGTTGGGCAGTATGCACACTTGATTATATCTCGTGCTACGTAATCTTTGACAAACTTGTATTTAGTGTCTATGTGCTTAGACCTGTTACTAAAATTATTAGAGCATATATACTTAAGTCAACTTTGGTTATCTTCCAGAATAAGAATAGGTCTCTTTACTTCTTCGTGAAGGTCGATTAAAATTTGTTCGAGCCATACAGCTTCTTGCATGGCTTCTGCTAAAGCAACGAATTCTGCTTCCATAGATGAAAGTGCCACACAAGTTTGTTTTCTGCAGCTCCAGCTTATTAGGCCTCCATAGAGTTTAAAAATATAGCCGCTATTTGACTTTCTTTTTTATCTTCAGCCCAATTTGCATCTGCATAGCCATAAAATTCGTTCTGTGTTTCATTTCGACTTAAGAAAAGTTTTAAGTTCTCAGTACCTTTAAGATATTTTACAAGTCTTTTGACTTCTAGCCAGTCCTCTTGAGTAGGCATGCTAACCCTCCGAGCTAGAATTGATACGCTAGCTGTAATGTCTGGCCTTGAATTTATAGACAAGTAAAGTAGTCTTCCAATGATACTTTTTATTATTTACCAAAAATTTTGTACTTTTCGTTTTGCCATAACTTGGGTCAAGAGGAATATTTGATACCTTAGCATCACTTAATTCCATAGTTTTTAAAATTTTATTTATGTAGCTCTTCTGACTGATGTAAAAATGTCCATAGTTGTCTCTTCCTATTTCCAAACCCAGATAAAGTTTAAGGTCCCCTAGACAGCTAATTTCGAAATTATTTTCTATTTCTTTGACTGTAATAAGGTCGTTTTTAGAACTTGCAATCAACAAGTCATCTACATAAACTAATATAATTACCATGTTGTTATCTTTATTTTTAAGGTATAAGCATTTGTCTGTCTTACTTTGTGAAAAATCTGAATCTTTTAAAAAATTATCTAAAGTTTCATTCCAGGCTCTTGCTGCCTGCTTTAGACCGTATAAACTCTTTTTTAATAGGCAAACTTTATTTCCTTCATCCGAGTTTTCAAAACCTGGTGGTTGTTCCATATAAATTTTTTCTTTTAACTCCCCATTTAAAAACGCCGTTTTTATATCCAAATGCTTGATATACATCTTTCGCTTTCCTGCTAATGATAAAAGTATTCTGATGGTAGACTGCCTCACAACAGGTGCGAAGACTTCATCATAATCAGTACCGTATTTCTGCGAAAAACCTTGTGCTACCAAGCGAGCTTTGTATCTGATTATTTGTCCTTTCTCGTCTTGTTTGATTTTAAAAACCCATTTGCATCCAATGGCTTTTCTATCCGTTGGCAATCTTACCAGTTCCCAAGTTTTATGTTTATTTAGTGATTGGACCTCTTCTAACATGGCTTTTTTTCAGTATTCCTTATCTTTACCTCTAAGTGCTTCTTCAAGTGTGCTAACTTCGTTTTCTTCTGCAACATTATTTACAAATCTTTCAGGAGGAATTCCTTTATTGGGTCTTCCAGACCTCCGTATATCTTTTGATAAAAACTTCGTACTACTGGAGCCTTGCTGCTGATTTTGTAATTCTTCTGGCGCTTCTTCTGTATCAGTTTGTGGGTTTTTATTAATTTGCTCCTGTTGCTCCATCTAAATTTCTACTTTCACAGTTGGATCCTCCGGAATTTCTTCCTGTTTATTTTTCTCTTTTGCTAACGAATATTTTTTACTGGACGTTTCAATAATAACATCATTGTCAGAGGCTTTGTTTAATTTTTGCTGATTTTCGTATGAAGAAGGAAAAATAAATCTAACGTCCCTGCTTATTATTAATCTTTTTGTTTGTTGATTAACTAATCGATAACCTTTTGTATGTTCATCATATCCGACAAATGTTAACAGCTCTGACTTATTGTCCAGTTTTCTTCTCTTTTCTGCAGGAATGTATACATACGCCTTGGACCCAAACTCTTGATAATGAAGAATGTCAGGTTTTTTGTTGTACCATAGTTCATAAGGGGTTTTAACTATTGATCTAGAAGGTAATCGGTTCTGAAGGTAGTTAGAAGTCATTACTGCTTCTCCCCAAAAAACATTAAGTAAATCAGCGTCTATTAGCATACATCTAGCCATCTCCATCAATGATCTGTTTTTTCTTTCCGCAACACCGTTTTGTTGTGGACTGTACGGAGCAGTAAACTGGAAACTGATGCCTTCTTGTCTTAAATACTCATTAAATGCTTTAGACCTATATTCTCCTCCTTGATCTGATCGTATTATTTTAGGTTTCTTTCCGAACATAGTTTTAGTAAATTGAACATATTCTTTAAATTTATTCAGCACATCTGATTTATTTTTCAGTAAAAACAGTGTACAGTACCTTGTGTGATCATCAACAAAAGTAACAAAGTATTGGTAACCACTAGTTGTTATTGTTTGCATTGGCCCGCAGATATCTGAGTGGATAAGATCTAGTGGAGCTGTAGTTACTTTGGTGCTTAATTTTTGAAAAGGGAGTTTGCTAAATTTACCTTGAAGGCACACTTCACAAGTTTTCTTTATGCCACAATTGCGTATTTCTATGCCAGTTGCAAGTCTGTTTCTGCATAATAATTTTATTGCTTCTATATCTCTATGGCCTAGTACCTTGTGCCAGTAGTGCAAGCATTTGTTACCGCACTCAACTAGTGTATATGCTTTTTCCTTTTGCTTTAGTTTGTAGAGACCCTCTTCTAGATCTGCAAATGCTATTTCGTGACCATTTTTTAAAATCTGACAACCGTTATTCGCAAACTTTATTTCAAAATTATTTTCAACTAACTTTTTTACAGACAACAAATTTCTTTCGAGTGTGGGAACATATAAAACGTCTTGAACTTGTGCTGAGAATTCTTTATTGGTACTGTTTAAAAATGTTAACAGGACAGTTCCAGTTCCCTCTGCAATTTCCTCTATTCCATTTCCAACAATTACTTTCCTGATTGTGGGTGACAAGAATAGAAAATCATTTTTTGAATGTGAAATGTGACATGAAGCTCCTGAGTCTACTATCCACCCGGTACATTTCGATTCTGATGTAGTGAAACAAAAATTATTATCTTCATCTTTTGCACTATCTTCGCTGATTTGATGAGCGTGGTGACCATTTCTTTTCTTTTTCCATTCCAAAAATTTTCGACACTCTCTCTTGGAATTACCAGGTTTATTACAAAAATAGCATTGAAATCTTACTTTATTTTTTGTTAAATTTGAGTTTTCTACCACCAATTTTAGTGCCGTTTCTTGTGAAAATGATTGCGAATAAAGACGCTTGTATTCTTCAATTAGTTTTGACTGCACCAAATTGAGTGTAAGGTCAATTTCTGATCGAGTTTCTAGAGCGGTGATGAGTGTGTCGTAACTTTTAGGTAGGCTGCTCAATGACATAGCTAGCTGTTCCACGCTTCTTTAGATGTTTTAGCTTTCCTTACGTGAATGAGTTGATTGTCCTCTACCAGTAAACAAATGGTGACTCTGGCTTGGTTATCTTTGGTTTTCCACTCCGCGTTACAATCTTTAGGGGTTTCTTTTTCTACTACATCCCACAATCCTTCCTTAATTAATAGAAGTTCTACCTTATATTTCCAAACGTAGTTTTCTCAAAAGTAGTTTTCTCCACTCAACTTAGAGATGGAGAACTTGGTCCCATCCGCCGTTTCGTTTGATAGATTCCTTGTGCCTGCCTAATGAAATATGAAGTTTTTACCAGTAACCTGCTACTTAGCTGGGCCCATAACCTATTGAAAGTAAAGCAGTGGGCAATGTGGGATATACTCGCTAATATAATAAAATTTCAGATCCTTTCAATAAAATATATATTTGACAACTACAAAACTTCAATCTCATAAACATCAAGACAAAAACCAAAATATACAGAGTAATAAACAAAAAGTTCACGAATACTTTCAACATTATTCTCATGCATTTATAGACATATTGAGAAAAGAACTCTTTTAATTCAACCCACTCAATTTCATTATTCATAGTATAAATATCCGGGAGATTTTAGGTACATTTCTGAAGCCGGGAGATTTTGAAAATGAAATGCATTTTTCCGGGAGAATCCCGGAATTCCGGGAGACTCTCCTAAGTACAAAAAAAACATATTTTTAAAGAGTCTGATGTGTGTGCATCTATGTGGGTGTTTATGTATGTATGACATTAAGCACGTTAACTTAAGGAAGAGTTGACGGATTTAAGTGATTTTTCAGAAAAAAATCACTTTTCTTAAAAACTAGGTCTCCATTGTTTTGTGGCATCATAGGCATGCCAAAAGTATTTTTAAAGGGTTGAGAAATTCCTATTTACCAATCGACATGACATTTTTAAATAACAATATCTATAGATATCAATGTTGCATAAATCCTTAAAAGTTTTGTCTCCATCGGATATTTATTATTTAAAATTAATATTTCCGTAAGAATTGCATTGGGCTAATAACAATAAAAATAAATACGAGAAAAGTTGATCGATTTTTGCGGTTTATTTATGAGAAAATCACATTACTTAAGTATTTATTATCTTTGGTTTTGTGGCTTATAGGCAGTGTTGCCAGAATATATTTTTGTTATGCACCAGATTTGCCTGAGAAATGTACCAGATTCCTTAAAAACGTACCAGATTCTACGAATTGTACCACCCTATTTCCCGAATTGTAATGGTTTAGTATTTTAATTAAGTTTAATCAAAATAACTGTTTGTAAAGAGAAATGAAGTCGACATATTGCTACTTATATGAAAGAACAAAGATATACCTATCTATTTTCAATAATATTTGAAAAACTCATTGAAAAGGCTTTATTGGATTACTACCTCAGTTTATTTAAAATTTATTACAATTAATCAAACATTTTCAAAGTAAATCGTTAAACAATGTAAATTTACTAATAATTTATTGTGGCTAAATGCGTTTTTTTTTGGTATTTAAATGGATTTCTGTACGTCTATGGGACGAACATCTGATAAACAAATTTCCGAGTTAAATTTGTAAAATGATGAATGAAAAAACCGGTTTACAACTTTTACAATATATCGATTTTCTTATTGCATCTCTGCATCTCTTATGAAAATGATTGCATTACTACTGTTAAGAACACAGTAATATTGGCTACAATGTTCTAACAGATATTTGTGTTTCTGCCGAAGACGCTTAGCGTTGCCTACAGAAATTTTGTAAACAATCCTATCTGTCTTGGTTATACGTATTTGGGTATCCCTAACGATTGATTTCGGGATATACAGTATTTAAAAATCGTTAGCTACACTCTACTGGATAAAAAAAACTATTCGATTTCTGGAATCAGTGAGGTATATATTATTGAAGTCTACTAAACATAGTTTTTAAAAGAAGGAATTTCCTTTGCACAAAATTCCACTCTTTGGATTTAAGTGAAAACAATTAAATAATAAATAATTAATAATACTCCCCTAATGTATCTATCCGGCACCAGAAAAATGTAAAAATAGACTAAACATACTAAGAACTATGTCTAGCATTAAATGGGGCTCTGATGTAACAATTTTAATAAATTTATATAAATCCTTTATTCTTTCTAAGATAGTATATGGCTCCTGCCTACCGAAAGCATTTTTTAAAGACTTACCCAAATCTATAAAAAGATTTAAATCTTTTGAAAATATTTATTTCGTTTAAAAAGATTTAGATATTTCGAAAAGATTTAAATTTTTCAAAAAGATTTAAATCTTTCCTAAAACGATTTAAATTGTAAAAAAGATTTAAATCTAAAAAAAGATTTTTGATTTAAATCTTTCTTTTTAAAAACTCGATCTTTGATTTAAATCATTTGTTCAAATGCAAACGATTTATGATCTTTGATTTAAATCGTTTTTAAAATGATTTTAAACAGCTCTGCTCGGCATATATGTTGAGAAGCTCACTATTCGCTAGAAAGTAGCATCGATTCTTATGTTAAATCGAGTTGGGTATTGATCGTGACGTGAAAATAAGGCTGCCTTGGCGTTTTACGGTTGCTATGTCTTGTCATTAAATGGTGTTTTTGGTTAGAAAGTGTTTTGTTTGAAATATTTCATTTAATAATTAAGCTAATGTATAAAAGTATTGTCATCTCTATTAAAATAGACGTTTAGAATAAATATTAAGTTCTAGTTAAAAAATAACCACCGGCGTTTTTTTTTACTTAAAAATAGTTTATCTATTTGCCGTCTGGCGTATTAGTACTTACTCTAAATGATATTTCTAAATTTTCTCCTCCCCATATATTCATACCAGCATCGTATTCACCAATGTCTATAAAATATTTTTTATCTATTGCAAATAAACCACCAGCCATGGTTGGCGACTTTATTGGTTTAATAAAATCTTCTTTTGTCTCCAAAGTACCTAGATCAAATAATATGGCATGAAGAAAGAGACGATTATATTAAGTGTGCATAATAAAAAAATTTAATATTATGTCTAATCCCTCAATAATATGTTAATACAGTAATAACCAAAGACACCTTGATTGTAAATAGGAAGTAAGGAGGAGGCGGAAGTTTTCGGCTAGATGTCAAGAGTTGACATAATAGATCTGAGCTATCTGGCCACAACGTACCAAGCAAAAATGATCGCTATAGAATTGGAAGCGAGAGTTGTATAATTTTCTCCTTGCAAACAAGACTATATAGATCTTTTTGGATAGATATGCCCTCATTGACTAAAAGCTGGTTTGGAAATAAATAAACTCTTCTGAAATAAATGCATCTCACAGAAGTAACATAATAGATCACTTATTAGTAATTAAAAATATTTTAAATAAAAGTTAAGACAATATCAAATCATTATCTAAGTATTTTTCTAAATGTCAGATTAAGTTTAATTTACCTGTGGGTGGATTTTCCCATTTAAAATGCAGTCCCCAGTTGAAGCCGCCCCTTACCAGTGGACTAGCTGAGTACATGAATGTATCTGGATTAATAATATCAATGATTGGCATCACAACGTTTGATCTTTTTTTTTGTATTTGTTCTAATAGTGGTTCTATCCAGCCAACATTTACTTCTACGTGGCTGTCCAAAAATAATAATACCTAAAATTACACAACAGATTTATCAAGATAATCATGGGGTCATATGCCATTTAAATCTCCAAAATAAACACATCTCTATTTTTACTTAATTCAACTTATGTCACAAAATGTCATTACAATAACAAAACCGAAAATACAATATTTCTTTATTTTTTCTGCTGAATGCAGCAGAGCTGGAGACACCTTCAATGTTAAGGCATAATGATAAACATTGATAATAAGAATCATTTGAAAAAACATGTAGATGGATATTTCCACTATGAAGTATCGAGTCAGTATATATATGAAAGAATAAACAATTCTACATATGCCAATAATTTAGGAATCTTATTTAGTAACTGTCAAAAAATCTTTAGAATTAATTGGTTATTCCTAGAACTTATTTGGGTATCACCAGTTTTCTTTGGGCATTTGAAGGTATTCTCTCAATATTCTTAAGTATCCTATGGGTATTCCCAAGTATTCTTTATATTAGCTTTGTTCGCGATAAATGAGTATGCGTATTTAATTTTAAGCTTTCATCGAGCCATAAATTGAACGCTTAAAATCAAAATGCATATGCTCATTTGTCGTGGAAATGTCACCAACAGGCTCTGTGAACAAAGCTATTAGGTACCTATACATTTACACAATTTTTCGGAAGTGTGTAACCCATTTCTCCAAAAGTAACTATTGAAGGTTCAGTTACAAGATAACAGTAACAAATTAGGTTAACTTTCTTTTTTGTTTAAATTTAAAATGGATGGACCAAAAAGTTTTTAAATTTTGGCACGTTGTAGATTAATTACATCATGTGTGTATATAATTCGTAATACAACATTAATAGTTCTTACCAAGTCGGGATTTTACCCTGATATAGGAGATAGAGATAACGAATTAGGTCTCTCAAACTATACCATATATAGAACGGATCGTTCATCTTTAACAAGTACAAAGTCACGAGGAGGTGGGGTAATGATTTGTGTTCATAAATCCATATCATCAAGTAAAATTGTCTCACAAACCACTAATGTTGAAAACCTATTTGTAAAAATCATAATTTGATATACATATATAATAGGTGGAGTCTACATTCCTCCATCATCTTCAATAGAATTTTATGAGAATCACTGGGCTAATATTGATACAATAGTTGAAGAAAACATTGAAAAAAATATTATATTAGTAACTTGCCAAAAATTAAGTGGGAAAATGATGATTTGGGAGTGTCTATAATAAACAGTAATTCCAATTACAATAGTGCCCAGACAATTTGTAACACATTTGCTTTTCATAATTTGTATCAAATGAATAGGATTAAAAATTGTCATAATGTAATGTTAGATTTAGTTTTTACTAAAATCTGTTGAGGTAGCTTATGATATATTTTTGCCTTGTGATTTGCATCATCCATCTTTAGTAATTAATTCAACAATTTTTGAAGAAATTGCCTCTTTATAAAAGGACTTCGTAAGTTATAATTTCGGCAAAGCTAACCCAGCTAGCACATAACGTTGCCAAGACTTTCGGCGATGTTGCATTAAGGGAACGTAATAACATTACTATACAATGTAAATGCAACGTTCATGAGAAGTTGTTGAGGGAAATCAAAACCTCGCAAAACTTCTATTTGTTATTTACCTAGTTAACCTACCTGTTATGTTAACACAACGTAATAAAGTAATTTGCTAAAAAGAACAAGAACTGTTTATGTCAATTGTCACTTGCCAATGTTTCTTGTCATATGTCATGTTTGTTTTTTTTAATTTGCAGAATTTCTTTTATAATTATTATTAAAAACATTTGAGTAGAAGTGGTAAGGATCCTCTATAAAATAGAAAACTATTTTCTGAACCATTTTCTTCGTTTTAGATTACAATGCCTGTTGTAAATTTTATCAAAATGTCCGGGAATATTTGGATCATATTTGTGTAGTTTTCGACAGAATGAGCTGGAGCTGGTTTATAGAATTATAAAAATGTCCGGAAATATCTGATAACTTTGTTAGTAGCTAGATAGATGGACTTGGTTTATGAAATTATAAAATGAGGACCTCTAAATACTTGAAATACCTTATGAAAGAGATATACAAAACTAAGTTACCACGTTACTGGCCTATTTAAGGATGTAAGTGGAGGCAGTAATTCCTTTTTCCCTAGCTGGCTCTTAAAATTTAATGATTCGGAGAGTGAAGGTATTAATAAAAGTATATCTAACTGTGATTTGATATAATATCTCTTTTAGCTTATGCACAATTTACCCTGTGGTTTATAATCCCCTACAAATGGTTATTAAAGCTGTTAATGTGTTAATGGTATTAACGATACGATACAATTTATCTTATGGTCCCCCTTTTAGTACTAGAAGGTGCACAGGTGAGTTTACATGTTTAATTTTTCAAGTTTATCTTAGGAATTATTTTAGGAATTTATTAAAACGAGCCACTACTTCTAAATTTGGAGAAATACTTGTGGCTGAGAAGTTATAAATCTTACTGCAATCAAACTGGTGATCGTTCAGGATGCGGTAATAACTGATGATGGCTTCTGGAGGTGCCAAAGCCTCAGCAAGGGGCTGCAAGTGAATCATAGCTATATAAATTGAGATTCCTATGCATATCGCTAACATGTGTGTTTTAGGTAATATTTCAGTTCAACAAAAGACCCACTAAGTTATTAGATACATAATCATTCATAAGATACTTAATTACAGTAAATGATAAATAAAGGCCTAAAATAAAATAACACTATTGGTATGTGATTTTAGGGGAGCATGGAGAGGTTGAACTTATCACAGATTTAGGGGCCCTTCTTTTACAAGAAACAAAATCCACAATATGTGATTCCACTTTACTAAGAATGTAACCAACTTCTGGGTAATAATATACTTAATCGAACTAAAAATACATTTTAATAATGTTGTATTTTAGATTTCCTTTGTACCTGAAAACATTCTAAGAATTTTAGAAGCAAAATAAATACTACAGACTTGTCTAAAGAAGAATAGCTATATGACATCTGAAGTTTTATAAAAAGTGAATCTACATGGTATGTCTATATTGAAAAAAAAACAACATCAGATTCAAGCAAGTGCCAAACTAGAAGAAAATTTGAGAAAAATCACAGACGATGAATTGTTTTTTTTATAAAATCTTCATACTAACTTGGAAATCCATAATTATGCATAAAATTTGTGAAATTCTAAAAAAAAAATTAGAGGTTTTATTTAAAACAACAAAGTAAGACAAAATTACCTAAAAATAAGTGCAACGATTTAAACTTGAGTATATTTTTTTACTTTCTATATAATTTCCTTCAATAATAGTTAAACAAGTAGGTCAATTTCTTTTTTATTTAATATGTAGTTAGAATAAAATAATTTTTGTTCACCTTTAAAGCATCTGTGAGTGAGAATGCCAAATATACTGTTTTCGATATATTTAAAGATAGTTTATTATAATCCAACCAGTCTTTCATAATTCTTACCCCTTTGACACCTTTTGATTTTACAGCCTGCCAGGTTTTGCCTTCAAGCATTAATAGGGTGTCATCTGCATAGGATATTGCTATACCATGTATATTTAAGTTTAAAAGAGAGTTGATATAGATGATAAAAAGAATTGGACCAAGGACAGTTCCTTGTGGTACACCTATTTGAATTTTAACAGGATTCCTAAATTCATTTCTAATTTTAACTATCTGTGTTCTCTTGTGTAGGTAGTTTTCAAAATTTTTTAAATCCAATCCTCGAATGCCATAATGTTTAAGAACATTTAGTAGTTGCTTGTGAGGAACAGTGTCAAAAGCTTTTGCGAGGTCGATAAAAACACTTATAGTTTTATTTTCATTCTCAAGAGTGGTTTTTATATTAGATATCAATTTATACATGGCATCACTAGAGCTAACTCCTTTTTGGAACCCGAACTGTTTAACATTTAAAATCTTTTTATCAATTAGATATTCGTATAATCTTTTTTTTAAACATTTTTCAAAATTTTTTTGCAAAATTTGTAATCAGACTTTTATTGGTCTGTAATTTGACACATCTGTTTTGGATCCGTTTTTAAAAACTGGATTTACAATTAATATTTTAGTTCTTCCGGTATCTTACTTGTTGTAAAGATTAGGTTTATAATGTGCATTAGAGGCTCTATTATGTATCGGTAACCATTTTTCAACATTCTAGATGTAATTCCGTCAATCCCAGGAGCACTGTTATTTTTTAACGAATTTATATATTCTATTAATTCATTTTTATTGACAGGATTGAATGCCATTGAGTTGATTAAAGGTGGATATCTTATTAGGAAGTCATCTACAGAATTGATTTTAGTTGCCATATCTATACAAATTTTTAAAAAATTGTTATTGCAGTAGTTGTCCATTTCTTTGTCATTTGTAAATTGTTTATTATTGTTTAGAATATTAAAATCATTGTTTGTTTTATTGTTTCGGTGTTAATTTGAACCTTCTTTAACTATTTTGTATATTTTTTTAATATCATTGTTACTATCTTGAATTTGAATTGTATAATAATCATTTTTAGCTTTATTTATTATTTTATTTAGCTGGTTACCATATATCCTATATTCTCTTAAAAGATTGTTGTTTTTGTTTTTTAATATTTGATTTTTCATTTTATCCCTATGTTTAATAGACATGATGATGCCTTGACTTTTATTTTTTTTTAAAGTATTATGCCTATTAGTTATATTACATTGTTCTTTTAGGGAATATATTATTTTAATAAATCTCTGGTAGGCCAAAATTGGATTGCTATGAGAAATGACGTTTTCCTAGTTTACATTTTCTAATAATTTTGTAAATCTATCTATATTGGTGTATTGTGTTGTATGTTGGTTTAATGTTAGAGTTTCTTTCGTTTGTTGTAATAATGGGCCATGTTCACATGTGAGATATGCTGTTTTATAAACTATATTGTAATAGTTAGTCGCTATACAAGTTATTCTAAATAATCAGTTCGTTAAAAAAGCTAAAAGTTTTTAAATTAAGCCCAATTGA